CACACACACACACACACACAGATAGACACTTAACAGGGCTTTTACATTAACACAGGCCCCTTTTTATACAGAGATCCTGTTACAGTGTTGTTAAAAATACCCCTCGTGTTTACACTGAACCAATCAAAGCCACCATACTGCTGCCTCAGTATCCCAACTGCCCCCAATGCTGTGTCGGAATCAGAGGCATCAGAACACCGCCTGCCTCCGTCTCATCAAACCTCTGTTACTACCAGCAAGCGAAGGTCCAACAACTTCCAAAGCTGATCAGTTTAAGAAGCAAAACATTTTTAAACTTACATGTACCATGTCTGCAACATTACAACACTCCTTAATGTAATGTTAGGAATTGTTTTGCAAAAGGCAGACAGTATGACACGCTTACAAAGATAACCACATGAAAAATCCTCTGCTGTGGTATCTGATGACTCACATATTGCTGTTACCAAGGTTTTCAACAGGTTTTCCACTTATCATTTCATGTGTTATCTGTCGTCCTCATGATTTCAGGTTGTTTGTGATGTTCTTAGTTGCTTTGGAAATCTGAGCTTTGTCCATTTGCTGTCTTTATCACCTAAGTATTTGTTCTGAGTCTTTTCATAGAGTTTAAAAAAGGAAGTGGTCTTTAATAAATCACTTATTCTGATGTTGCTATTAATTATTGTTGTCCTAATCTTAAAGGCCAAAATGCCTCCTCTGTGTGTCGAACATCGTCTTGCTTCGTTTGAAACAAGACAGTAATAGACCAGCAGGTTTCAGAGGCAGGAATGAAGCTCAGTGTATCCACTGAGAATCTGTAGCAGATTGTTTAATGTTTGGGGGAGTGTTCCTCATAAGAACAGTGACATCTGTCAGTTGTGCAATGACATTCACCATCACACATGGAGAAATCCGCAGAGATGACTCTCTGTCAGCTAACGTGGACCATATGACCATAATGAAATGAAGTTTTAAGACATGCTGTTGTCTTGGTGACGTTTGTGAAACAGGTACACCAGAAAAATAAATGAAATCATGAATGTCAGTGTACATAACATCTGTATCCCAGGTTAATGTGTCTATAATGCACACAAAAAGTGGCCATCAACAAAATCTCATACATATTAATGTATCTCTGTGTTTTACTTTGTTTATATATTACCACCATATTCTGTTTTCATAAACGTGCATACCTTCACATCTACACAGTACAGTAGCACTGCAGACACGTTGTCTTGTGATCCCGTGGGTTGTCGCACCCTCTAGAGGTGACTGAGTGTCAGTACACCACAAGAACTGACAATGCCCTGAGCAAACCTGCTGACCCCCCCCCCCTACTCACCAGCAGGCATCTAAACTATGTGTTGTCTTTGTTTAAACTGTAGCTCATCAGCAATCGAACGCACAGGCCTGAATAAAGGACTGTAAAAACACAGTTCTTCCTATTAAGCTATTCATGCCCTTGCTCTTTGCACCTCACCATGCAGTACACCCACCCTGTGATGTGCATGGTGCTCGAACAATACCTCTGCACACTCTGCACTTCTGCAGATCTGCTAAGGGAAATGTGATTTCACACAGAGGTGTAACCAGCTTGCATTCAAAAAAAAAAAAAAAAAAAGGTTTACATTTTTTCAAGCAGAAAATGCAGCAATGAAAATCAGTGTATTAAGCAGCTAAATTGAGCCAAGATCCGTCTATAAAGTTTTTCAAATGAGCTATTCTCTTCAAGGGGTTTGTGATATGTGTTGGTTAGACTCTAACCATATCATTTGGTTTAAGCTCATCTTAGATTTGACTTTAGTGTCAATTTAGTGACTTTCCTTTGCTTGTGCATGCAAGTAATGTTCTTCTCAGTATCAGGCAGTATGAAATAGCTGCCTGTGGTGTTTATTTGTGTGACTGTCGCATATGTTTGTGTCGGACGGTGTGTGTCACATTGCTAGTTCTGCAAATCACATGTCACGACATCAGGTTGGCATCTGACCCTAAATACGTGGTCATGTGACAGTGAGACATGGCTCTCAAACTCTGGTCCCTGATCTGCTGTTTGCTTTGTATACACACACACTGGAAATAGTTCAGACAGTGGTACAGATATATTCTGTATCTGAGCATAGTTTTTTTCTTTCAGGACCATTATAAATCTTTGGTTAGTAGTAACAATCCCAGAATATCATTCTTTTATCCTCCACTCCCCAGCGCTTTTAATCGGTGCCATCTCCCTGACCACTGAGTCCTTTAATAGCCATCAGGTAAAGACACACACACAAACATAGTGCTGACGCAGTATCTGACTATTTTTAAGACTCCCTCCCCCGAAGTTGAGTGATTTGATGAACTAATCCCCTGAACATACCCTACCAACCCTTTTTGTAGTAAACAATCCAGTGTGTACCAGCATGGATTACATCAGTTGTCTGTTGTGATAAGATAGGGGCAGCCCTCAGCCAAATTAGAGCCACTCTAATTCACACAACTGTTCAGTTTTAGTTTACTTGCCAGTGCACTGTGGAGGGGGAAAGGAAGGAAAAGAGGGAGGGAGGTAAAAAAAAAAAAGTGAAAGGCAGGGAGGAATCAGGAAGGTCAGAGGGAGGAGCAAAATGGAGACACGCTGCAAGAGGGAGGGCTGAGCATTAAGGAAGTCATTCTGAGAGGGCACCTGTAGAGAGGACAGGAAAAAGTCAGAGAGGGGGGTTGACGAGAAACCCCCTCTCCATTTTCTGGTTAAGCGCAGATCTGCTTTCAGCAGGCATTCAACATGGGGAATCGTGGGTCTCAAGAGCAGCAGGACTCAGAGGGTAGGTGTCGTGTAGATAGTGTGTCCCCCTCTTTCATTGCTCTCTCAACCTCCTGCATTTCTTGAGTCATATCTCAAGTCTCTTATTTACAGTATCAGGACACTGTCCAAGAAAAGTCTCATTCTGCCTTCTGGCCTTCTGCTTCCCAGCATGTTCCCCTTCAGCCCCTGGCTGTCCTTCTCTCTCTCCGTCTGTCTTCCCTCCCTTTCCCTCTTGCAGGCTCACTCTCTTCCCCCAGCCGGTGTGGGTTTTTGACTATATTTAGGCCGAGCTGCTCCTGGTCAACAATGCAGACTCAGTAATGTGAGTTAGACTGAAATGCATGCAGAGGGGGAGAGAGGCCGAGCAGGAGCTAGACTGGCTGAAAGAGAGGCCTTCTCAATCAGAGGATTTTATGATCCCAGTCCTTTTGAAAGTGGGCAACATCTGACCTGAGCTGTAGCTGGGTTCAGGTACAAGGCCAGGTAATATCACTGAGCTCTTGGATTACTTGTTGACGTCATTGACAGGGTGGGCTAATCGAAGTTCTTTGAACTGTTCTTTTTTTTTTTTTTTTTTTTACTCTGTCTTTTCAGGAGCAACTGTCTTGATTTGATTCATGAATGTGACATGATGATAACTATATAATTTAGAAATGGGAGAAACCATTGCACAGAGTGAGATATTGCTTTGTCATGGCCTGAAGGCCTATACCTGTGGTGCTCTCCAGGTGCCATGTCGGCTGTGCTCTCAGATTCAACATGAAGGGGAATTTTGAGCTTGTGCAAGAGCGCAGAAGTCAACAGAAAGACACAATTCAAAATAAAGGTTTAATTTGAAGCAATTATGTCAGTTCAGCTGGATTTGCACTTGGTGCTAGATTGATCATTACTGAGGACACGTTGTTAGTATCGTTAGGCATATTGCTTTACTGCAGTAATGACACAAGGGCCTGGTGGAAATTATAAAATTATGAAAAATGTTTAGAAAAAATAAATAATAGTTTGGTTGGATAAAACAAACAGTGTCAATAAGTCACAATAAAACTCAGAGATTTGGTCAAGTAAAGCAAGGGAACAAAATTAACATGAATTTTAATACAGCTGGAAAGCAGCTGTTCCATTCTGGCCTCTGAGTGCAAGTCCTTGCTTTGCTGAAACAGTCTGGATATATGAGTGCATAAAAGTAAAATACACTGGTTTACACAAACATTTGACCTGGTATTAAATCACATCATTTATCTTGATTATACGGACAGGATGTCCTTGTATGGTTAAAATGATCATTGTTTATTCTTTTCATCAGGAATCCTAACTTATTCCCTTAAGCTAGATTTGTCTACTGTTGGAAAGGTGACATATTGCTTTGATATCAAGTTTAAAGGTTTGTCTTTACCAAGCCTTATCCTTACAGTAATCTTTACAGTGTTAATGCTTTGGTTTAAACATTATTATTTATTTTTCATAATCTAGGAATGGAAGTTTAATTACAGTGTCGTTACAGAGATTGTAAACTGTTCATTATTACTCCATTAGATAGATGCCTTAAATGTTAAAGTCAGCCCAACACATCCTCAGCTGTTGCTGAAAAGACTTAAGTACCTAATAAAACAATTACCTCAGTGTAATGGCATTATATCTTGATATAAAACAACAGCTGTTATGCTGTAAAATAACATTTCACATTTTAGATTAGATTTTTTAAACACTGTCAGATTAGCCAAACTTGACCCTCAGAACATTATTGATATCGGCCGTCATTGTGTAAATACAGCTCATGTGTGTCTTGTGTTTGTGTCGGTGTAGGATTAAGTCAGAATGTATTGGTTGACGTTGTTCTCTCTGTCTGATCCGCAGCAGGGGCCTACTACCCCGCCCAGCCTCAGTTCACCCCATCGGTGCAGGCGGCACCGGTTATTATGAACCCTGCCCCTCAACAGCAGCAACCACCACCTCAGCCTCCGCAACACATCCCCACCAAACGGGAACGCAAACCGGTACAGTTGTTATTCCATAACTCAAAGCATGTTACATAGCTTACTCGTAGCCCAACACATTTGTTGTTTAGGGTTTTCATATTATCCTCTTTAGTCTCATAGTCTCCTCATGATTCCAAGCAATAACCTTTAATTCGCAGAATGAACCATTAACCTGGAACAGGCTTCTTAGAAAACATGGTGGAACTGTGAGTAGCTGAGTAACACAGACCTAAAGGAACAGTTTGTTTAAAATGGAAAATGTTATCAGCTCTATTTGAACAGCATCTGTGTATCAGAGGTCAGGTACTTAAACCTCCACCAGTCTTTTTTAATAATTCCATGTGAAGACATCATATGTGTTTTGCACCCATGAGAAAATCCTCACACAGCTACAGTGAGATAAACTCAAGGTTCTGAGTATACATTTTGACTTATCTGTAAATCTACATATACAGTGCTGTGAAAAAGTACTTGCCTTCTCCTGATTTCCTCTATTTGTGCTTCTTTGGCATATTAAAATGTTTCAGATCATTATTTTAACATAAGGCCATGATGAAACAAACTTCAGCTGTTAAAGATATAATATGTAATTATACTATGACTAAAAATGATTAGATCTATGCTTTTTTTTTATTGGCCAAAAATGTTTTGTCCAACAATTGTCAAACTCAGAAAAATCTCCAATTTTTTTCAGGTAACAGGATGTTGTGATAATTTTTTTTGCCTTTTAATTGCACGATATCCTCTTTACCCTTAACTTTGTCCGTCTCAGCTGTAACCTCTGGAGCAAACGACGTACGACGAAAGAAAAACACACAGTTAGACAGCCGGCTGTTTACTCTGCCCACTGTTTGCACTGGACACCCGTAATGGATCATGATTAGTCATTGCTATTTGCTTTAATCAGTAAACAGGATTTGCATGTGTCAGGTAGATTTTCATTGGCAATGGTGGTAAAGACAACAACTCATTATCCCACGCTGCCTCACTCCACACTGCCTCACTAGGTCATCAAACTAGATCATTTGTCAATGTTTTACAGAGAGAACCCTAGAGGCTGAAGTTTGAATAGAATCTCAAAATTATCATTCTCATTATTAAAGACTGAAAAAAGTATTGTCCCCACAACCTATTAAATGGTTCTTGGCGGCCCCAACTACAATTAAATGTTTGCCATCACTTGCAACAAGTTGTCTATGTGGGCCACTCCAAAACCTCAATTTTATGATCTTTGGATCATTGTCCTGCTGGACACTCTCCTCCAGGATTTTCTGGTAAAGAGCAGAAGTAATAGTTTCTTTAATGATGGCGTGGATCGTGCAGGCACACTGCAAAGCAGCAGCCCCAGACATTCACACCACTACCACTTATCAGAGTGTTTGACTGTTGGTACGATGCTCTCACTGTGGAATACTGTGTTAGCTTTTTGGTCAAAAGTAGCTGGACCCATGTCTCTCACAAAGGCCTACTTTTGGCACATCCACACAAGATTGTCTTACAAGTCTAATGGGACATCAGGATGTTTTTTGGCAAATGTGAGACAAGCCTTTTTGTGCTCATTGTCTTCCTTATTATGGAATTGAGAACCCTGACCTTAACTTTCGCAAGTAAGGCCTGCAGTTCTTTTTATGTTTGTCTGGATTCTTTCTTGATCTTTTCGGATGATACGTTGAAGCACATTTCCGGGACTTTTGGTCAGCCAGCCACTCCAGAGAAGGTTCACCAATAATAGTTTCTTAACCCTTCTGTTTTGAATAGGCTGTTTGTTTGGCCTGTGTTAAAGCTCTAGAGCTACTTTAGAATCAAGCCTTGTCATTAGTGAGTCCTCCTCAAACACTTCAATATACTGTCACTTTTATTGTTTGCATGCCTAATGAACTTTTGTTCATCCTACCTGGTTTATGCACAATGAACATTTTATAGTTAGTTTTTCATACACAAGCTGATTTTGCTTTATTGCTGTTATTTTTTCCTTCATTACATTTCAGAGGTCAGTTTGTTGATCCGAAACTTTTAAGTGTGACAAATGAACAAAAATAGAACAAATCTGTTCCAGGATGGATTTTCACCAAACTTGGTGTGAATATTATTTTGGAGGGTATTTCAAGATGATTAACTTTTGGTGCTAATGGGTCTACAGTCAAAGTCAGTACAAATATGATAAGAAAAAATCCTAACTGGAGATTACTATCTCCCTGTATCTGCATCCTACAGAACTACAGACACAACCTAAACCTTATATAGATGGAGAATCATTTGACAGGGATGACGTCACCATGACGATGTCATACAGTGTAGTATTGTTTTGTAATGACTGCGAGTAGAGACACAATCTACATCACTCTTCAGATGCTTTGCATTTTAGGGTGAAAACTGTCCACCGTGAATCCAACACATTACAATACGAAGTCAGTGGAGTACTCTTCATGCACAATAGAACTTAATTCAAGAAGCAAGTGGTCAGTGAGAAAAATATTATACAAAAATGTATTTGCCCAATTTTTTTGTCAAATGATTCGACATTTTAATTTCCAAAAAGGTAAATGTTCTTGTTTGATGTGCCAGGATTCACAGATCTATGGTAACGACATGGAGTTGAGTTAACCGATTGAAATAGATTGAGGTGAGCTCGACCTTAGCTCGGTGTTCTGTAAGACTGAGCTGCTCTGCAACATATTCCCCAGTTCCACAGTATGTCTAGTGTTTCCTCTGCTCTCAGATGGCGCTCGCCTGGTATGTGGTAGCTCTCTGTGAACTGAAGCCCCAGTTTGTGCCTCTCATGTAATCTTTGTCTCTACAGTCTGTGCTGATGGTTGCATTTGAGTCACAAATATAAGCCACAGGTTTTTTCAAAGACATTTCCTGGTAGACCAGAGACTCCTCTATCCAGTTTCAATGAGTATTCTGTTTCCTGCAAATCTGTTTTTCAACCTGTTTCACTTGATGCCACTTACTTCGTTAAATCAAAAGATTGCAGTCGAAGTGACACATCTCCTTGATCAGTACATTTAGATAGATCCACGCATATTAGAGTCTCTGCTAAATCATGACAGGCACAAACATGTGCTCTGTGAACAGGTTTGGTTGTGTGTGGATTTTCTCTCATTGCTGCTCATAAACTTGTGTCACTGTGTCTTGAAACTGTTTTTTTCTAGTTTGGAGCTTTTCTGAGGGTCTGTGGTCAATTCTTGGCCTGACAGGCTGAAATGATTTAACTTAATGGAAGCTGGGACTTGATCCGTTGTTTGTCTGATAAATCTTCCACATTATATTATGCTTATACATATATGTATGTCATCTTCTTCTCCATGTAGAATCTTTTATATATATTAAGGCTTGATGTGGTATGAAACCTGGAAAGGGGGTCTCAGCGTTTTTTGCCTCGATACTTGCGTGTGTAGGTTCCTCTCGCCGAGGTATATGACTGCTTATCAGTGACTGTGGTCACCTGGGATGGACTTTGTCCCTGTTCCCATGGGCTAAGGCCGTGCTTCAGTGCTGGCTTCAAGGTCCTTATGCTCCGTCTCTGTCACACACATCCACACAAAATGTAGAGCCACTGCAAGAACTGTGGCACAAAACTGCTTGAGTGAGCTATATTCATACTTCAGCTGTGTTACCTTCCACTTACAGGACTGTGTGTAGACGTGCACAACCTTTTTGTAGTTGCATAAGTCAGATGAAGAAATGGAGAAGGATTTTAACACAAGTTTTCCAGTCTTGGCAGTCATGTGTCTGACTGCGACCATCTGCCAAATTTCTTTTCCACAATTTTTACCTGCTTACATGCAGAAGCTGTAGCTGTGCAAACTACCTTCTCTTAACTTTTTTTACTCCCTCTCTCCCCCTCTGGCTGTGTGTCAAAGAGAAAATGTGGAGGGGGTTGGAGGACATATCGGCACATAGCTCAGCTCCACGTGGCCATCGGTCTCCTCCCTCTTCTGAGCCGGAAGGGCTAACCATCCAGCCTTCCTCTGCTGCTGTGGCAGCACCCACCCCCTCCCCATCCTCCCCCTTCTCCTCTCAGAAGGAGGGAGCCTGAAAAAAATATTGAGGAGAAACTTGAGTGTACAGGATGACATAGAGAGTGAGAGAGAGCGAGTTTGAGGGGAAAAGGGGGAGTTTCTTGTCCTAACTGCTGCTCATTTGATAATAACTTTTTTTTCTCCCTTTTTTAAACCCTCCCATTTCCCTTACCCAGCCCCTCCTTAACTCTCCAGCCCCTTCAACTCGCCTCTGTGGGCGGGGGGTGCACATTCCAGTACCATAGCTTTACAAGGCCAGTCGCATTATCCTTTTTTTCACCCCCCTCCCTGTACTGTTCAGCAGTAAAAGAGGGAGGGTGTGAGTCAAGTTGCTAGCTAGCTTACTGACAGTCAGTCCCAGCTCGGTCCTGCTCTGCTGGCGTGTAGCTCACCCTGGATGTGTGTGAGTTTAGCCGAGTCAAACACAAGAGTGCTACATCCACCCACCATTCGGCTCTGCTGGGTTTAAAGTCCAACCCCGAGGCCCACTGGAACTGCTACTCCAGCCCCAGGATGAGAGGGGCCTGCTAGGGTTTGTAATGCTCCGGGAGGGGAGTTGCTGACAGGCTGAACCAGGTTAAGGTCAGTAGCAACAAGTCAGTATTGTTGTTCTTAAAGTCAAAAGTTGGCCAGAGATTGCAAGCGTCAAACCAGCTCGCTGTTATTTTGTACAGTTCAGTTCTGGTCTGGTGACTGGGTGCGTCCCTTTATTTCGTAGCTTTCTGGCTCATACCACTTTCATGACAGCTCTGACTTCCAAAAGTAAGTATGTGTAGTGTGAGTGAGAGAAAAAGAGTGCTGACTAGAAAACACATGTTGGCAGTGTAAGGGCCCTGCTTATGAGTGAGTGATAAGATTTTCACTCAGTCTTCCCCCCTCTCTGTCTTTGTGTTTACACAGGAAAGCTGTCTGTTGCCTGGCCTGATTGTGCTTTGCATTTCTGAGAGTCTGACTTTTTCACATCAGCTTAAATCGGCAAAGGCATTTTTTTTTTTGACTATTTGGATTAAAGTCGGTTAACTTGATTCTTGCTAAGTCAGACGGTTTAACGGTGACTAAGAGGCTGAGGCACTTTCAGTTGTGCAGCAGAGGAATTTGCATGGCGGTTAGTGTTCGGTGTACCTCAGCATTCAGAGTGTGAGAATTGTAGCTCACTTTGAATGAGAGGCAGAAGGGAGGACTCAGTAAGGGCTGATGATTATAGGCGTTGCATCATGGGAAGGCTACCTTTGTTTTACAAGCTGCTCCACACTGTTGAAAGTTTTCTCTTTTTTTATACATTTTTTTTTGAGTACAAAAACATGCAGATTGACATATGAAGGCTTATCTTATCTTAGATTTATGTCATTATTTAAGTACTACCTTGCAGATTTATTACCTGTCATCTTAACTTTCTATTTATCTTGTTTTACGTAACACTCCCACCCTTACAGCTGGTCTCCTCCCTCTCTCCCACAGATAAGAATAAGAGACCCTAACCAAGGAGGTCGAGACATTACAGAGGAGATTATGTCAGGGGGCCGTAGTGGCTCTACCCCAACCCCACCACAGGTGAGCTACAATGCCATTAACCCGACTAAGCAGAGGTAACACAGCGAATATTTATATACTCTACAGCATCCATTATATTTTCAACAGACATTTAATTCTCTCAAATTTTAGAAAAAAGGTATCAGATCAGTGAAGTTCAGTGGTTTAAGTTGTATTTATTTCATATTAGTATAAAGCTTCTTTTCAGATTAATCCATGATGGCCTAAAACAAGAATTTGTTCAAAGGGAATGCTACAGATTGCCAGCTCGCACACACGTGTTGCAATACAAAGCATTTGTTTCTTTCCCCCTAGTCGAGTGGAAAAAGTAGTTGTCCTCACCACAAAGGTCATACGTCATTATTCGGTGTGTGCATGTCTCCCAACAGGCAGCCATATCTGGATCAGAAAGCACAGCGGTGGCACAGGCTAACGGTGAGAGCGTCCCAGCTGACGATACACCAGCACTGGTTAGACCAGGTGAGTGCCACATGGACAGAAGCGTGGACAGTTACACTAAGATTTTATACAATATACAATATCATTTTGATATTGTTTGTTTTTTATTCAGCAGCATATAATACTGCTTCTTCCTCTTTTTATCATTTAATTTTTACACTTCTCATATGTTTAATGCATATATCGTTATTTTTATTTTTGCTGTGGGTGTTTCAAAGTGGTTGCTGCATAAGTAATTAAAGATAAAATCAGAAAAAAATGTGTCCTTATTTGCCCTTTTCCATTTAGCCATTTAGGTCACGTTAAATTTAACTTAATCAGTGGTTTCCTCAAAACATTTTATCTAACTGCCTGAAAATGAGACTTAACTGTTCCCAGCTGATGGTTTCGTCTTTAGATTGTTTCGCTGTTAAGGGCAGGTTTACTGCAGGGGTTGACCATTTTACCACATGGGACCTTGTGTGTTATGAATGAGCTTACATACTAATTAATTGATAGGGAATAAATCAAATAAAGGGACAGAACCCTCACAAAGTGATGTCGCATAGCAGCGTCTGCATAAGAGGGAATCATGAGTTTAACCAAGACAATGTAAAGTATATAATGTCTTTTATCAATAGATGTGGATGTGTGTTTTGGTTAAAGCTGCATTTATTTCAGTGTTTTTTATCTGTAGGAGTGACACCCATGAAAGCAGCTTTTTTCCTTAGCTCATGTCCTGGGGAGAATATTTATTGTTTTGTTTAGCATTCATTTTTAACTACAGGGGACAGGCCAGGGAATGTAGAAGGAGTTGTTCATGCTAGAAAAGAACTGGTTTTTTGGGACTTGTTGTCCGGACACATTGGAAAGCAAATGTTAGGAACTGTTCAGAATGGGCTCACACACACGGGGTTGCGCTACATGAAAGGACAGAAATGTCATCAACACACCGTGAATTACCCTGACAATTACCTGCGCTATTTAGACATTGGCTCTATTGGACATTACTTAGACTTTGTGCAAGGGGGTTACACTGCATGCTGGAAAGCAGCTGGAGAAGTGCAGCCCCCTGATTCTAGATATTGGAAAGGTGTGAGAGGAGGGGGTTTCTGAAGCTGTGTACTGGCACCCTTAAAGGCTAGGTACCTCTAACATTAAATGTTTCTTCAATCAGTCTGTTTCAAGCTACTGTACTCTTAGATGTTTTTGTGATCCAGGTCTATTTAGTCTCTGTCATGCTCCAAATACAAATGAGTATGAAAACATATGTGAGCTCATGTAGTTGTTGTTGTAGAGTTGTGCATGTCATATCTTGTCATCATTCTCAATAACGTTGTTTTGTCTGACTTTTGAACCTTCAGATGACAGTGGTAAACCTACGCCTCCTCCTCAGTCAAAGACACCTGACCTCTCTAAGGACTCTATCCCCACAGAGGCTGCATCCTCTAACACAAACACTAAGGCCCCTGCACCCCCTCTAATATCAGAAGCAGAGGACATCCCTGTCAGCGCTATATCCACCGCTGCACCCAGTGCTCCTGTTGCGGATGTGATGGACACTCCACCACCTCCACGGGAGCCCACTCCAACACCTCAATCAGCACCTGAAGTGCCAGCCTACCCAGCACCCCTTCCTGACCCTGTCCCTGTCCCTGGCTGTACTGCACAGGACAAAACAGAGGAGGAAGAGGTGGAGACCGAGGCAGCTGCCTCCTTGGACACACATCTTAACCCTCTCTCCAACACCAACGGTGTTGCAATGGCCGAGCCAGAACAGTCTCCTGTCTCCAGTGACCTGGAAGCTCCTCTGGAGTCTCCCATTGCACAGCCCGAGGAGCTCCGTCTTCCGAATGGCCTGCCACTGCCAGCCCCTCAAGACCCCGAGGCCCCTGCCATCAGTGCAGCCGAGCGTGACGACAGCCCCATCGCTGAGCCTGACATCAGCCAACATCCTGTCATAGAGATCACTACAGCCATCATTCAGGCAGCGCCTACACCTATTGTCCAAGCCACACCGTCACCTGTTGACCAGCCTGCACCCACCTCTGCCCCTCTACCTGCCCCTGTACCTGCCCCTGAAACTGCCCCTGCACCTGCCTCTGTACCTGCCCCTGCACCCGCCTCTGTACCTGCCCCAGCACCCGCCTCTGTACTCGCCCCTATATCCAACCCTGTACCTGACCCTGTACCTGACCCTGTACCCGACCCTGTACCCGACCCTGTACCTGCACCTGTACCTGCACTTGCACCTGCTGTCCAGGAGATTCCCGCTGAACCAGTCGCCCAGGCAGCACCTGCCCCCGCTGAGGTAGAAGACTCGCTTCCTCCCGTCGTCCTGGATGTAAAGGACGATTCCCCAGTGCCCCAGTCCACCGCCAAGGAAGAGATGCCATCTCCTGCAGAGGCAGTTGATGACAGCACACCAGAAACAGTGGCCACTCCTCCCCCTCAAACTGCAGAGGAGAGGGAGGACACCCCTCCTCCCCAGACAGTCACCCCTGCCCTTGTAGAAACTACTATGCAAGGTCAGTCACTTACCCATGTTTGTGTATTGGATTTCTGTTCCTTCTCTGTTTTTTGTAAGTTGTTACAAGTCATTTATCAAATATGATATGTATCTCCAACTTCCATCATCTACGGAAAAAAATCAATTTTAGCAAGACTCATGTTTGCACTGATCTTTGGATGATGGAGTTTGTCTTCCTTCCTTTAGCTGCTGTGTCTGTGCCCAAAAAAAAGAGGAAGATGAAGGATTTGAACAAAAAAGAGGCAGTGGGAGACTTGCTTGATGCCTTTAAAGAGGTTTGTGTGCAGTACTGAATTAATTCATTCATTTTGATGCATTTACCGCCTGTTTTGATGAGTCTGCAGTTTTTCCGTTCCTTCTTATGCTGGCAAAGAAACAGCTTTAGCCCAGTGTATAATTCAAATCAACCCCTTTACCTCGCTGTTGCTGAATTTTAAATGTAGCCTCCCATGGTTTATCTATTTTACATTAAAAAAATAAACTATTCTAAATCACAGTCTCATTGTCCTAATGCCCCTTCCTCCTCTAACCCAGGAGCAGGTCGTGACCCCACCAGAGCCCGAGCCCGTCCCCGCACCAGAGCCTCAGCCCCCTGCTGCTGCCCCTCCTGCCCCAGAGGAGGCGGACCTGACCTGGGAGGACAAAGAGGACAAGGAGGACAAGCTGGACAAGCTGGATGCTGAGAACATTCAGCCAGACGATCCAAACTCTACTGACAAGAAGTACCAGTACAAAGAGGGTGTGTCTCTGAACCTTGATGCCATTCAGCGTTCTTACATTGGCAATTCAGTGTGAACATTGGTCTTATCGTGACTCAATTGACTATGTTTACGCTTGCTTCATTGAAAATCTAGGAGTGGTGTTTTGCTTCTGTTGACATGAGACAGCTGTGGAAAACGATAGTTATCTTAAGACAATAATATTAAAACATTTAGATAGCTTTTATCTTCAAACCTTTGTTAATTTTTTATTTGCAACTTTAACTAGAACACAAAACAGGAAAGATACATCTCCATTCACAGTCAAAGCATAAGAGAATAAGTTCAAACACTAACTGCAAAAATGTACACCTGTACTATTCTGCTGTTTCAGTAAATTTCAAAAAATGTTCATTCATTTGCTAGTCTATCTGCCACCTTGTGGACATTGTAGGGATTTCATTATCTACATGTACGCTCACATCCAATCATATAATCTTCTCCACTCAGCAGAGCTGCTTGGCTGTGTTGGGAGAATACATCCTGTGACACAATTTCCCTGTTTCATTCTGGATTGATGCTCAGTGGCTTGAAATAGTTTCCAAAACATCTTCACTAAAAGAGCATTGTATGTCCCTGTTTCAGAACAATGGATGCCAATTAACCCTGAAGAGAAGAAGAAATATGACAGGGGGTTCCTTCTGGGCTTCCAGTTCAGCTCAGCCAGCATGAACAAGCCGGAGGGTCTCCCAGCCATCAGTGACGTCGTCCTAGACAAGGTGCACCATCTTACACTTCAATTATTTATCTTAATTTGCCTTGCTTTTGACAATTGAGCCCTTTTACAGTGTATGTAAAGAAAAGGGCCTTTTAGTTTTGATAGGTTTTTTTAACTTATGCAAACATTTTTAGGATGTGATTAAGAAGCATGTGACCAACATGGGAAAACATGATGGCAACATTACATCTTTGAGAAATTGTATTCATTTTTATCTGCTCAGGCAAATAAGGCCCCTCTGCGTCAACTTGACCCCAGCCGTCTGCCAGGAATGAACTGTGGTCCTGACTTTACACCCTCCTTCGCCAATCTTGGCAAACCTGGCATGGGAGGAGGAAGCAGCAGAGGACCAGTAAGTTATAATTTCTTAATGTGATCCAAGAGCTGTGTACTTGACGATCATAGACCATGAATGGTGTGGCATCTTTGTCTCTCCCCAGCCTCCAGGTATGGGAATGGGAGTTGGTGGTCCACGCCGCTCTCAACAAATGCAGAGGAAAGAGCCGAGGAAGATCATCACCAGCATGTCGCTGCATGACGACGTGCAGCTGAACAAGGCAGAGAAGGCCTGGAAACCCTCAGGGAAGAAAGCTGTTCGCAGTCGCGAAGTAGAAGAGCCAGAGGAGAGCGACTCAGAGCAGAGCAAGACCAAGGAGCTGTTCAAACGGGTTCGCAGCATCCTCAACAAACTGACCCCTCAAAAGTTTCAACAACTAATGAAACAGGTGACTGATCTGACCATTGACACAGAGGAGCGGTTAAAAGGAGTCATTGATCTCACTTTCGAAAAGGCCATCTCCGAGCCAGACTTTTCGGTGGCCTATGCCAACATGTGCCGCTGCCTTATGGGGGTAAGTTGTGCTGCATGCCAATTGTAAATACATGTTGATTAAGCTTCAATGTTTACTTTGGAACTTTTGTGGTTTAAATGTTTGCCTCAGCAGATAAAAAGCTGTGTTGCTGTTATACTGTGTGTTAAATGATAAACTAAGTAAATTTGATCATGATGTTATGAATATTAGTGTCCACGGCTGTCGATTAAAAGAAGCTAAAGAGATACATTTCTTCAGAATGAAGACTGAACTGATCAGCCTGCTATCTGTGTGTGAGACTGAGGGATAATCAGCAGTGGAATGCTGCATCTCATCACCCCTGGGACCCTTTATCACAGGCTAATAAAAGCAGGGTATTTGATAAGGAAATTGGTTGATAACACTCCAGCATTTAGACTCATTGCTGCCAGCATTGTGGAAAAGAAAATCACAGCAACGGGCTGCTGAAAGAGTCTTTAAAATGAAGTCTGTGAATGTTAATGTAGGTATTTAAGCTTGGAGCTAAATTTAAGTTGGCGAAAATGGCTCAGTGAAGGAACCCAAAGTGTTTCTGTGATTCATTAAAAGGCCCTGCACTTACACAATAACATGACAGGCAAAAAAGGTAGGAATGATGTGATGCCCATGTCTTGTGGGTAGAACTGTGGTGTTTACGATGGCAGGCCTAGTCAACACATACCTCTGCCAGGATCAGGTGATGACCTGAAATTAGTGTGGCGTGGCTGGGCCACTGATCCAAGTGATGGGATTGAGGAACTGAGGAGCCACTTGCACTACATGATAGCCCTTCACCCTGTTCCCCCCCTGCTCTTTGTTCATTTACATTTTCTCTGCTCTTTGCAGCTCAAAGTCCAAACCCCAGATAAGCCGGGAATGAATTTCCGCAAGCTGCTGCTAAATCGATGCCAAAAGGAGTTTGAAAAGGACAAAGATGACGATGAAATCTTTGAGAAGAAACAGAAGGAGCTGGAGGCTGCTTCAGGGGTATAGTGATGCCTTATGAAAAATGAGTTTTTTATGCACAAATGTTGATAGTTGAACTTGAGTGTGTGATTGGGAGCGTTGCAGGGATCCACATACTGTGAAGAATCCATTATGCAAAGATTGTACAGTGTCTGTCTATATATTGATAAATGTTACATCTTTCCTTCGCAGGGGGAGGAGAAGCAGCGGCTCGTCGAGGAGCTACAAGAGGCTAAAAACCAGGCCAGGAGGCGCTCTATGGGTAACATCAAGTTCATTGGTGAGCTGTTCAAGCTTAAAATGCTCACTGAGGTCATCATGCACGACTGCATCGTAAAGCTGCTCAAAAACCACGACGAGGAATCCCTGGAGTGCCTGTGTAGACTGTTGTCCACCATTGGCAAGGACCTAGACTTCGAGAAGGCCAAGGTACAACGCACACAGTTAAATAAAGAGAAAGCAGCATTCATAAGCATATGCACATTCCTCCTGATATATGTGTAGCTAGATCATGTTTTAATTTGAAGATGCAGACTCACCTCTCTGTTTCTGCTCGTCTTCAGCCTCGTATGGTCCAGTATTTCAATCAGATGGAGAAAATAATAAAGGAGAGGAAGACCTCCTCTAGGATCCGCTTCATGTTGCAGGATGTGCTGGACCTTCGACGGGTAAGTCACAGACGCACACAAACCACAGCTTCCCACAATGATATGCAGTAGTCAGCAAAGAGGGTCTGGGGCTTCGGAGAATTTAACCATAAATGGTCAATGCAAAGGAGCTCATGAATATTAAATTATATATATGTTAGAAGATATTATTAAAAACTATTACAGACTCAGATTAATGGTATATGAACGTAATTTTCTATAAGTTGATTTAAATATTTTTCAATTGAAGGACTATTACGGTACAGTTATCTCGTACGAGCACAAATAACGTTGTTGGTGACACAACCTCACGTCTGACACATTGGTCACAGTCAGTGTGCACATTCTCCCATCAAGTTTGTTTTTTTCAAACCCCGTTTTGTGCGTATGCAATGGTTATAAATGAGACCCCTGGTCTGTGGGTGTCTCTTTTATGGGCAAAGAAAGAAATGTCTTCCTCAGCTCTTGAATGCAGGGCAGCTCTCAAAGTCAGAGCTGCTCTGTGCCGTAGGCTGACAAAACAGGTTAAACAGCACCATCACTTCAAGTAGCATAGTCATCCGTTTAGTTTGGGCTGAATTAATTCATGTTTTCATGATTGTTCATTAAAGAAATCTTGTACCATCTTGTATTCAAGTCCCTCAGTCATTATCAGTACATTTTGTACTTCCTCCATCTTGATTCCAGGGCTGTCTTATAAAAACCAGCTGAGTGTAGTTGCATCAACACATATTTCTCTGAAGGAATGCTGCAGTCCTGTAGTTACGCTCCCAGTCCCACCCACAGTGTTACAGAACCTGCTGTCTTCAGTGTTTTTACAAGCCAGAATCAGGTGCAACATGTCAGCACATTGGCCCAATTTAACTGTGAAGCTCACACTGTATCCTCTGTTATTTCCTTTCCAAGCTAGTTATTTGTTATTTCCTTATTGTTATTTCCTTTTCCAAAGCTGAAGCGTGTCATTGAGAGATGCCTTTCTAAATCTTGTTTCTCATTAACACAGAGGCTTAGCGTCATAATTTAAAAGAGAAGTGTAATCCAAGAGGCCTCGTCTCAGTCAGAACTCTTGAGTTGGTGCGATTAATTTCCAGGGAGTTGTTAGTTCCATTTTGATTTTATTTCCATTTGAGTATTCATAGTATTCAGTTTGCTTATTTCAGTAAGTATGTAACTGAAAGTATGTATAGCGCCATAAATTCTCTATAAAGACAAACCATGTCAAAAGTTTAGCGGCCAATTAATTATTTTGACATAATTCTCTTTTCCCCCTCCCAGAACAATTGGGTTCCCCGGCGAGGCGACCAGGGCCCCAAGACAATTGACCAGATCCACAAAGAGGCTGAACTGGAGGAGCATAGGGAGCAGATGAAGGTGCAGCAAGCTCTCATCTCCAAGAAGGAGTTTGGTGGTGGTGGTGGCGGTCAAGGAGGCAGGATGGGCGGAGGAGGCTCCGGAGGACGTGGTGGGTCTCACACCCAAGGCCGCGGCGCTCCTCCCCAGGACGAAGGCTGGAACACTGTGCCCATCTCCAAGAACCGACCCATTGACACCTCGCGCCTTAGCAAAATCACAAAGGTATGTGGAGAGGGCCACTTTTTCAAACATGCACTGAATTCCGCAGATGTGTGAATGCAAATGTCAGAGTGAGATGCTCTGCAGTTTCTACAGACTTTCTCTGTGTCTGTGTTGTAAAGAAAATCACGTGATCTTCGCAGCGGAATTAAAACGTCACTTCCTGTCTCTTGTCACTTGTTGTTTAACGATTGTCTCTTCCTTCAGACTCCTGTTCTTGACTTCAACAATCAGTTGCTTGCCCCAGGAGGTAAAGGCACATGGGGGAGCTGGGGTAAAGGCAGCAGCGGTGGCTCCACTGCCAAACCTGCAGAATCTGGTAGGTTCTCAAGACTGATGTGGTTATACATCAAATGCACATCTAGTGCACATTTCAAAGCTGAAATTCAACGTGTGCCTCATGTGTAATTTCATCCCCAGGCCCAGAGTCAGGTAATCGTCCAGCCACCAGCACTGTGAACAGGTTCTCAGCCCTGCAGCAGTCGCTGTCCTCCTCTGGCTCTTCACTGGACTCAGACAGACGAGTTCCTCAGAGGTGAGGATCAGGACATGGAACAGGCAGCCTTGAAGAACAATTTATAACGTTTCTTGTTTTGTGTTTATTATATATTATAAGAAATAATCACTCTTCTTGTTTGAGACTCATTTTCTATCCCTGACTCTGCTCTCTACCCCTCCTACAGAAACAGCTCGAGTAGAGACCGTGGTGATCGCTTTGACCGCCAGGATCGCGGCGGCGACCGCTTTGACCGGCGAGACGACAGACGTGACGACCGACGGGATGACCGTGATCGCAACCGGCTACAGGTCACCAAACGCAGCTTTAGTCGGGAGAATGAGGAGCGGAGCCGCGAGAGAGAACAGCGCGGGTTGGCCGATCCTGTCCGCAGAGTAGCGAGTATGACAGATGACAGAGACCGAGGCAGCAGAGAGAGAGCCAGGAGCAAAGAGAATGGTAGGTGGCAGTACTCAGCTGCTGTGTGGATTTAAATAGAGTATTCCAAACTTCAAATTGAAAATCTGAGAATTTTCTACCATTCTAAGAAGAAGATAAAGGGATTATTGGCACAAAAAACTATTTTAAGGCCCTGACCCCCATACTGTGCTTAATAAATATGTTATACAACAGGGATACTGAGAATCATACTATTCTCAGCAAAAGTTCAAATCAATCCACAGAATAAGACTTTTTTTTGTCTTGTGTGTTACAGTGAAGAGGGAGGCAGCCGCCACCCCTCCCCCTCCTCGTCCCCAGACCCCCACCAAGCCTGCCTTGACTGAGGAAGAGCTGGAAAAGAAGTCCACAGCCATCATCGAGGAGTACCTGCACATCAACGACATGAAGGTACGCACCGATCAGCAACCTCTGTGCATTTCCTGTGGCTGCTTCACAATAAAAGTCCCTGTGTGGTTTGTTGGGTGAACGCTTTTAATGTGAAGCCGCAGCAGCACAAAAGCTTCTATCAATAACCGTTAACAGTGACACTGAAGTGCGTCTAAGCATTATCGCTTATCACTGTGTGATGTCCCTCTTTGTCCCAACAGGAGGCACTGCAGTGCGTGCGGGAGATGAACAGTAATCAGCTGCTGTTTGTGTTTGTGCGAAACGGGCTGGAGTCGACGCTGGAGCGCAGCACCATCGCAAGGGAGCGCATGGGCCTGCTGCTGCACCAGCTTATGAAGACCGGCATCCTCTCAACACAAAACTACTATAAAGGGTCAGTGTGGAGCGTGTGAAGTACATTATTTCACAGTGGGACATTTTCCTCATCAGTTTAACAACTTTGAATATACTTAAAAATGTGTGCATCCTGTTTCTTCAGGCTTCAGGAAATCCTGGAGGTGGCTGAGGACATGGCAATAGACATCCCCCACATCTGGCTGTACCTGGCAGAGCTGCTCACTCCCATGCTCCTTGAAGGTGGGATCCCAATGGGAGTGCTTTTCAGGTAAGTAGCCAAAATAGAGAAGGAAAGTTTTTAATTTCTCATTCATTCACTGTTAATTTGTTCCTTGGTTTTGTCTCCAGGGAGATTTCAAAGCCCTTGATCCCTCTTGGAAAAGCTGGAGTCCTGCTGGTCCAGATCCTCACTTTACTCTGCAGTGGAATGGTGAGATCAGTCTTCAGTTAGAATCTATATTACATCACATCTATCGTATTCTTCCGGCTTCTGAAGGCTTGTAAACCCTTTTTAAAACTTTTGAGTTGTTAACTTAAGATAAAATACTAAACTACAACTTTGGGTAAATTGCTGCTTTTGAATCCATGGCTTAAAAGTGCTTCAAATGTTAAAATGTCTTAAGGTAGGTTTTAATTATGTTAACATTCATTTAATACTACCTCGTTGAATGTGGGGGAAAAAAAGCTTTATTTTCTAAGAATAGGCTACTTCATCATATGTTCAACTATGGGGAGGGTGTAAGTAATTCTGGGACTCTCATATTCCTTCATATCGGTTGGACTTGATATTGAATTTCATTCATTATGGTCTTATAAAGTCTTACATTTAACTTGATGGAACCCTCGTATATAAGTTTGTGAGAATAGGAATCTGAACGATTCAGTCAATGTGGCGGTAATGAATGTCAGCCTGAATGTAATCAGTGGATGTCCATCACTCAGTGTGTCTCAACCGTGTGTCTCCCCATCAGAGCCATAAAAAGGCCGGAACAATGTGGAGCGAGGCAGGCCTCCGCTGGAAAGACTTCCTGCCTGAGGATGTAGACGTCAACAAGTTTGTGACAGACGAGGTGAGCAGTCACTAACTGGTCTACCATCAACTGAAAGATGGCCTGAACGTTTTTATCTAGTTTTAAGATATTGAACGGCTTCTTCTTCAAGATATGTTCAGCTGTTGACATTCGTCCTCAGATATCCGATCACAAGGGGACAGCGTTAACGTCGTCTGTTCACAGCCGACATTAAGATGCGTCTCCACTGAACACTTAGCATCAGATCTCATTTCCCCGCTCTATATGCGGCCTCGTGCTCGTATATGTTGAAAACATGATTGCTGTGCCTCTGTCTGTAGAATGTGGAGTTCACGCTGGGTGACGAGTCAGAGGAAGGCAAAAAGTTGGAGCTGAGCTCTGAAGAGCTGAGCAAACAGCTGGACAGACTGTTCAAGGACAAGGCCGACGACCAGAGGATCTTTGACTGGACTGAGGTCTGTTCCTGCTGCAACCTCAGCGTATTCAAACTGACTCGTCCAATACAATGCTGTTGTTGTTATGGATGCATTTGTCCGATGTATGTGAGGACCAAAGCTGGTCATGCTGCCTCTGGTTTTCTACACACGTGTTAATAGACTTGTCTCTGTGTAGGCCAACCTAGACGAGCAGCAGACCTCCTCCAACATGTTCGTCAGAGCTCTGATGACCTGCGTCTGCCAGTCAGCAGTCGTCTGTGAGTCAACTTACACTCTTCATATTCTTTATTCAGGGCTGAAAGTACAGGTTAATTATTTGTTCATTAGAGGTAATTCACCAAGTTGTAACGTCTCTGTCTTGAGCTAAACGCTGAGAAGAAACTGAATGTTCGGTAGGAATTGTGGGATTTGGTGTTTGACCGGGACGTGGTTTGAACTTGTGGTATAGACTACAACTTCCAAGTAGAATAGCGTCAAACATAAACACACAAAACTGTATTGTTGTTCGCACAGTTTTTTTTTTTTTTGTGTAGCGCGTGTTGGAATAAAGAAAATGTGATGGACATATTCCAGACTAACAGTTCAGACGTGTCAGGTCTGTCTTCACAGAGTGGTGTTAAGTGAGTCTTTGCTAACTTTGACCCCTGCAGGTGAAAACCCCTACAAGGTGGACAGTGAGCAGATCAAACAGAGAGCCAAACTGCTGCAGAAATACCTGACAGACGAGCAGAAGGAGCTGCAGGCTCTCTACGCCCTGCAGGCCCTCATGGTAGAGATGGAGCAACCTGCCAGTGAGTGGCTCATTCATTCTATTTATAGTTCACTGTCAGATCTGTTTCTGTGCACAATTTCTACTTTACTTCAAATATTATATAAATACTGTTCACATGTAAATTCTGATGACGGGCTCTTGTTTGTGTGAAACTAGTTTAAAATTTCCGATCTCACTTCCCTCCGTCAGATCTGCTGCGGATGTTCTTTGACACACTTTACGACGAGGATGTAATCAAAGAGGAGGCCTTCTACAAGTGGGAGTCAAGCAAAGACCCCGCCGAGCAGCAGGGCAAAGGCGTGGCCCTCAAGTCCGTCACTGCCTTCTTCACTTGGCTCCGCGAGGCCGAGGACGAGTCCGACAACAGTTAGGCCCCCCCGGCCGCTGGAAGAGCCGCTGGGAGAGGATCCTTGAAGAGAGTGAATGTTCTGTGGGGGATTCAGAAGAATCTGAATCAGCAAAATCCTTCTGCATAAACAGAAAAAAAGCCAGAAAAAAAATCTTCACCTGGGAGAGATTGTATTATGGATCGAACGTTCGATCATCTTATTTTTTTCGTTAATATTTTTTTGTTTTGGGTTTTTTTTTTTTTTTTTGCGCTACAGAATGTCTTTTTTTTTTTTTTTTTTAAATAAACGCGAACACAGGATTTATTAGCGAGAGTAGAAATAAGAGAGTGAGAGAGAATGCTGAGAAGTGACACGCTGTGAGAGATGAGGCTGTTTTTTCAGTATTTTTTTTTTGAGGTTAGTCTGTTTTCAAATGGCTTCTCACCACGGCGACACTATTCAAGACACTTTGCTTTATGACAGATATAAAGAAAAAAAACTTTAAGAGGCTGTTCACATCTATATTTTTGATGACTTCATTCTTTATCATGGAGACATGACTCAGCGACTTTGTCATGTCACGTGTTTGATGTTTGATCTACATGATGCATTTATGTAGACGGTTAGTTTATTGTGTCCAGTGTTGGACGATTGGAGTGAGTGTTTTTTAAGAAAATACAAAACTACAAAGAGAAGAGGCGAGGACTGTCTGATGGACACGTCAGACCGGAGCGGTTGTGGACTGTACGGACTTCAGACTTTAATGAGGGTGGTGTCACTGAGGAGAGGGCCAATGACCATTGACCATTATGCTGCTGGGGGGCGGTGATGCTTCCCTGATGCTCCTCAACCCCACCCCAAAGACCCCTACGGACCCTCCCCTCCGTGTGTCTGTTTTACTTGTTTCCTGCGCTTCAAAGAAACAAACTGTGGACTGAGAAGAGGAAGGCGAGGGCTCACGGCTGCACCCTCCGACAAAGCCTGTTGATGGATTTTAAAAAGATGAAATATCTCTATTAAAACTTGAAAAAAAAATACACAGACAAAAAAAAAATCCACTTTAATGAAAAAAGGACTTTTAAGAAGAGTAGAGTTAAACAGTACGGATCCTTACGAAGGCCTTTTCTGCTTCCAAGAGTGAAAAATGCATTTCAGAGTTCTGTAAATATGACAGATTGGTTTTTTTTTTGTTGTTGTTGGTTTTGTTTAGTTTTTTTTTTTTTTTTCCAAAGAAAACATGCTAATGTAACCCCCCCCCCCCCACCAAAAAAAGTGACAGTTCCCTTGTATTTATATTTTTCTCTCCTCAGCTGGCAGAAGGTGCTTGTAATTATCCACCCCAAATTACAATTTAATGAAAATTTGTAAATACTTTTTTGCTTTTCTTTATTAAAAAGATATTTAATTAAAGAAAATTAATGCCTCTTTTCACATTCAAAACTGGAAGAGATAATAAAGATCGTTGCAAATAAAATGGCAAAAAAAAAAAAGACACTCCCATACTTGTGCTTTTGTGACGGCAGCCTCTGTGACAACACATGGCTTCTTCCCTCTGTTCTGCCTCGCAGCTAAACGTGTCCTGTAACTGTGATGAGCAGAATCAGATCCTGCTGGTTGCTTTCCTCTGATGCTCTAAACTGCGACTGGTGTGGGTTTACGATCTGTTATACACTATGTGCTTCTGTATTTATCGTTAGGATGGTGTGTTTTCATTGTGTGGATGGAGTTGAAAGTTCATGATACTGTTGTTGACTGCTGAGGAGGTGCAGATAGCTGAGATAGTGGGAGCAGGACCTCGAGCCAAGGAGGTTATGTTTTCACTCAAGATTTAGCAAAAGTGACTGATTGGATTTTGAAATTATTCAGTACAGTAAGACCTCAAATCATTGTGGACCGTTTGTGTTGAGGTTTAAAGACGCTCACAGTGAAGGTGTCACCTCTGCCATTGTGTTCTGTGTCCATACGCAGCACCCCAGACGTCCAGCTACTGTTGGTGATATTGAGTATTGACTGATAATACTCCTAGTCCCAGAGGAACCGTGTAATAGAACAAACCGCCTTTTGATTAAAACTGTCTTAAAGAACAGAGTTGTGGTATCTGGTCTTAGCTGCATCAGACTGTAGAGTGGAAAAAAAAACCCATCTGTGATATCATCCCCTTGAAAATGATTCTCATCCAAGAAACAACGATAAACCTTCAGAGCGAGTTTTCATTTTTCATCCTGTCATATCTATTATTGGTTTTCCTCCAATATAGTTTTTTTTTTTTATTATGCCACATATGGTGTAATGAAATACCTTACTCACACTGCATTGTTTTTCCTCTCACTGTAGGCTCTGACCTCTGCAGTGTTGCGTTATTAACCGTCATTTCAGGATGAAGATACCAAACAGGAAATTCAAGAATTGCCACAATACCTGTGAGTACCTGTCTAATTTTCAGAAGCTGGATTAGGCTTCATGTTTTGGTGAGTGGCCACTGATGGCTTATAAACCTCAAAATTATATAATGTATTATATTGCATTTAAAGAATTATGAATGAATTATCGTATCATGATGAATTTCCTTACTATAAATTTGTTAGTTGTTGTTAGTATTGACTAGGTTATCAAAAAAGATGGATCCACCCCTGCAAATATAGAAAACCATGGAAAATATAGTTAAATGTCAAAAATAAATAAATAGATAAATTGATCAATAGATTCCCTCCATTAAGACGAGTCAATAAGATTTGATAGAAGACTTATTGACAAAAGAAGATAATGGTCTGAATCTAAAAGACATAGGTACTGTATCAGTGTACTTACTACGTGTGTCTGAATTCGAGCTAGAAAAAGTAAAGGCAGTGAAAATCCTTGGTTCCCTCTGGATGCTCCAGGTTCCTCTCAGTCTGAAGACGTGCACGATGCAGGTCAGGCTCTGTGGAGCCTCTGTAAACAAAACTACACTCTGAAGCAGCATCACGGAAAACAAAAAGCTGCTCTGTGTATCCAGGCTGCTCATGTTGTATATACTGTATATATATATACCTGTGCTGAAGACACAGAAGGTTGCCAGTTCAAGTCCCAAGAGTGTAACATCAGTGCTGGGGGAGGTGAGGGGAGTGGGCTTCGCTCTCTGGCTCTCAGCTGCCGACATCAGCCAGGAATAGAAAGTGTGGATGTGCAGAGCTCATCCCGGACCAAAAGAGTGTGTGTACTCAGCAAGCTTTGCTACAGAAAAGAAAAACAACCTCATCTTTCCCGCATTGTCGCATTTTAGGCGGTCACTTATTTTTCATCCCCTCAGAGCTCTGTTGTTCAGCCCACATCTCCCCCTCAACATATTCTCTTTCTAACCAAACCCTAGAGCTCGGGCGCTCTCTGTTCAGAAGCACTTCACGCTTTGTAGACTGTAATCCAACCTCTGTGAAACCTTAGAGTCAGAGTCAGGCCTTTATTTTAAACTGCTGACATGCCCAGGGAGGGAATCGCCTTATCTCTACCCCGCTTTCACTCGGTCGCAGTATCACTGTCAGCCGGACCCACTTTTTCGGGTGACATTTTCACACTGTTGCGTCACTGGTGCACCTATCATTTCTTCTCCATGTAATCCTCCCAAAGCATATTTGCGCAGGCCTTTGTTAATAGCTAGGCAGCCACACGGGCACGGTGCAGTTCAGTCTGTTCAGATCCTACAGAGATGAAATCCTCAGAGAGCTCTCCGACACCGCATCCCTACTTCACAATACTTCTATGCTTTTGTGTTCTTTGACAATTTGGATAAACATGTTTCAACCAGTGCTCTCGATCCGATGAATTTACAGGTGCGAGTCTGCTATTAGCTGGAAATGTGTCGTAATGACAGATGAGCACAGACCTAAAAGTGACTCAGCCCAGATCCTGTGAGAGGAGATGAAATTCTGATTTCTAGTTTGGTTTGACATTTGTACATCTGCGTGTTCGTTCATGTAAATATTCCAGAAACGCCTTTTTAAACCCTTCTGCAAAATCTTTTTAAACCCATTTCCTCAGTGCTGTTTATCTGCATCTGCTGCGTGCTAGTGAATTTTTAAGTGATTTACACAACACCCCTCAGTGCACATCTGGCGAGGATTTGAAGACTTCACAGGATTTCATCTCTATTTGTGATGTGGGGAAAAATAAAAAAATTATATATATATATTTATATTATGTAAGTCACTATGAAATAGTACAATATACTGTCACTACTACATAATTATTGTTATTTCATCTCAATGACATACTATCTTTTATTTTATATTTCATAATATTGTTTGACCACAGTAGTTGTTCTTACGATACCGATAAATATATATCTCCTGGATTCTTTTTCTAAAATGTAAGCTTATATCTTTTTTTAAATCTTCAAATATGCAATCTGTGTTTTTTATAATAACGTAATTTACCTAAAACTTCAGAAATAGTAGATATTCAGATATAGTGATACTGAAATACTAAAACCAGCATATAAATTCCTATCATTTCAAAAATATTCCTTTGTAGAACATTAACACCTTCACAGCTCCTCACAGGTATCTACAGTCTTTGACAGTTTGGGATGAGGACTCACTTCAGACACACACTCACGAGGGTTGAGCCTCAGTAGTCACTGTCCAATATACACTAGAGGGCGCCATTGCACGGTATATTCATGACCATTATTTAGTATAGTAGTTAAATATTTACGGCAGCTCGCACACATCCTCAGATATTTCTTAATTTTCATCCATACAATGGACAAGAAGCATCTTAAGTTTTAAAGGATACAGAAATAATTAGTCATGAATATCTTTTATTTTTGATCCAATGGCTTTCTGCTTGAAAACACAGGTTACACTCTGTGTCTGCTGGGGACGTTTGTAAAACCAAGTTCAGTTATTAAGAAAACACTGAAGATGGATGCAAAGATTTAAGTAAAGACCGTGATCACAAGACGGTCGGGAATCGTTAAGTGCACAGCGATCCAACTACTTTGAAAGTTATTGTTAGTCAGATGCGTTTTGGCTTGTGGCCTTTCTCAACATCATCAAAACACTAAGAAGGCGGAACCTCTGGGAAAGCAACCATCACAACCACCCGCCACAGCCACGAAACCACGTTCGGTGGCAGAGGGAACTCACATGCAGCACTTTGAACTGCGAGGCATTAGCCTGGAAACCGTCGGCCGAGAGCGGACTGAGCCCGAAGGCGTCTGCAGCTGCAAGACCAATCCACCGGCTGCGAAGTGTTTCAATGATCACTTGATTGCTTTGACCTCTCCACACCATCACACACCCTTAACCTCACTGAAAGCTATTTCCAGACGTACCGCGGGGATTTAGCGTTATATGTGTGAAAACAACAACACCTTGCTGCCCTGACCTCAGGATCCACAGCAAAGCAAAACTAAATCCCTCAGCACGTGACACTGCACTCACACACTCTGCACTCACACACACAAAGGTGCACACACACACAAAGGTGCACACATAAGCTCAGACAAAATGTGCAAATTAGTGTGCTTGCTGTTTCTCCTGGTTTCCACTCTCAATGCTAAGCAAACTACCTGCTGGTGTTAGCATCATACTAAGCATCAGAGTGTGATCAATGCTCTCAGTTAATCCTCAGGTTATCTCCCAAAATGTCAAACTATTATTAGTTTTAATTTGTTTTTTCATGTTTACTTCTCATTCTTTTCTCCTCACTATCGTCTCTTAACATTGTTTGACTCTTTCCCTTTTTTCCTAATTGCTGCCATGACCCATTTATTCCCACAGGAAAATTGCAATGTGCACACAAACACGCTGCCATGTGTGTAATGACCTCACGCCGTATCATCACGAATCATATCTCCCTGGCAGATGGCAGCGGGTGTGTGCCACAGTCTGCCGTCCTGCCGGCCGCAGAGATCCACACCAGTGAGGACGCAGAGTGTGGTCCCTTCACCAGCATCACTGACAACATGTGAGCCAGTTCCACTCACCACACAAAGTACCACACCAACCCATTCAGCTGTCACACTCCGCTGTCACAGAGCTCTCCGGCAGTCTGACGTTTGTGTGTGAGGGAGACAGAGAATGTTCAAGGTCACATTTATTTGTAAATCCCACCTTTCACTACACGGTACCTCCAAAGTTCTTTTGTACAGGAACATGAATAAAACACAAACACGGCCACTGCGATAGACTTTGAGAAAAGCCTTTTAATGTTGCTGAACCACGTGTCATGTAAACACTAATCTGCTGTTTTCCTTTTGTTATTAACGACCATTTATACCTGTACCTTTTTTTTAATTGGCTGTGTTCAGAAACTGAAAATGCTAAATTTATTTCTATGTAGCATTTTGGAAATTTGTAAACTTCATTTTTGAAATGTGCAAAGATAAGATAAGATAACTTAAGATAAGTTAAGAACACATGGATAATATGAGATAAGTTAAATAAGATAAGACAAGAAATATAAGGTAACATAAGATAAAAGTTAATATAAGAAAAAATAAGATAAGCTAAGATAGCATGTTAGCATTTGCATACTAACATGAAAAATATTGTAAACATATCTGTTAAAAACTTTCACAGTGAGACTGTTAGCCAGCTGACATTAGCATTTAGCTCAATCCACGATAAATTCAAAGTACAGCCTCAAAGCTGCTAGCATCTGGTCAACTCTTAAATTGGATGTAGCCACATATTCCTGTGTTTCATCAACGATATATTATGGACATTTCGTCCCAATATATATTTTCAATAATGTAAATTTTGACATCATGTGTACTTACATATTTATTCCTTTTAGTCGCTGTTTGCTTCCAAATATGGTGAAACAAAGGGCTACGCTACAATTCTCTCTCATCCCCAGCAAATTCGTGGTGTTTAACCTCATTTACATATTTCATGAATTACCACAGTCCTCGTCAAATACGGCCTGTCCGCATTTGCAAGGCTAATCCCTGCACTCATTGGGAACATTAGGTGATCAAATTAGCTCTTCTAAATGTCCCATTGATGGCGTGACGCATGGTAGCTGTTGAATAACCAGTAAAACAGCATCAGTTGCCATGTTACGTTCTCCCCTCTCTCAGAGGACCACGGCGATGGGGACATTTAGGACGAGCAATCGAACAAAAAACGTGACTGCTGATGCAAACGTTCTTCTCCGCCTCATGCGCTCATCGGGAAAATAGACGGCTGTGTGTGTGTGTTTGTGCCATTCAGCTCAGTCCCGGTGGACTCTGTCTTTATCGCTTACATAACTCTATCTCCCCACTGCATTATCTGACAGATACAGCCCCGTTCTGATTAGAACTCACAAAAACACTCTTTCCATTTGGTGCGTTCGCTGCCTTTCTCTAGCTCTCCCTCTCGCTCAGTGTCATAAATAATGCTCTGAATAAACACTATCATGAAATGCTATCTGTAAAGCTTAAAGTCCTGTTAATAATTAATTTCTCAGATTTAAATTGATTTGTCAAACACCACTTAGTGGATGAAGTGGACAAATCTCAGCTCTTTTTACTCTTCTAGTTATTTAGCGACAAATTTATTTTTGAATCCTCTTTTCGACCTATTTTCAGCTCGAACCCAAACACGAGACAGTTTTTTTCAGTCACTGGTCATAAATTTGCAAAAGGCCTATCGGGCCATTATGCATTTATGACATGCTATTAAAAATGATTGGCAGCTGGTGTGATTGGAGACGAGCATTACTTCAGTCGAGGAGCTGATTGTTAGGAAGGACGGAGGAGCTCATCTCCAGCCTGAACTTGACCATGGAGTCAGCAAAAGGGGCCATTTTGGTTCTTTTTCTGCTGGTGGCGTTCGCGTCATCCTGGGCCAAAGGTAAGGGACAAAAACAGAGGAGCTGTGTTTTTTTTGTTCTAGATGTCGTTCTCGCTCTAAAACGTCTCCTTTCATCAACAATTTCAACTTCCTGTACTTGTTTCTCTTACTTTCACACAACCCGCCTCGTTTGAGTTTCACATTGGCCTGATAATGTTGATCTTGATGTATGATGCTCTCCTTCTCTTCCATTCTTCTATGACCTGTTTTAAAACTTGATCTTTTCATCTCTTTGTCTTTTGCCCTCATTTCTCTGTCTCCCTCTCTTCACATTGATCCTCAGCTTCCACCTTTCTTTACATCCTTTGCGCTCCTTTTTTCTACACCTCCCTACCCACTTGTTTTGTGAGGGGCTTCCAGACTTTTCGAGTCAGTACCTGCAGAGTTGTGTAACTGGCTGCTGTCAGCACTTACAGCTTGTTAGCGGAGCACTGCATTAAAAAAACGACACTGTATCTTCTACACTCGTCGTAGATAACGGAGCATGTGTATACGACATGTGCTGACACAGACAAATGTGCTAATAAACACACTCAGGTCCCTGAGGCCTGAACAAAGGCCACTCCACTGGGTTTTTACTTCTCCTCACACTGAATCTGTGTGATACATAGAGCGTCTCTTTGATTCTCTGAATTTGTCACATTCCTCGTTTAAGTTTCTTTGAAGCAAACGTTAAAATGAAAATGTTAAATGGTTTTTATTTATATAGAACTTTTCTGATCTTGATGACAACTCAAAGTGCTTCACAGCACAATTTTTTTGCATTAACCCATTCACACACACATTCATGCAGAGCATCTATGTGCAGCACTTTCTCCATCATACAGCTCAGTCAGTATCTTGCCCAAGGACACTTGGAAACTCCAAAAAAAAAAAAAATTGAGACCGGGGTATTTTTCAACATTTTCAAGTTGAATTCATTGTTCCTGATGAGAAAAACCAGGAACATTTAGAGAACTGGTATCTATGACTGTGTGAACTCAGGGATCTACTGAGTGCTATTCCAGTTACTCATGCTGTAGTATATTTTTTGGTCACTACACTATGTCACATATGAATGTCACTATATCCCTTTAATTTGCACCACAATCTAATGTGTGTTAAAACACAATTTGCTAAGTGGTTACAACAAGTGTAACATAATGATTACAAATCAAACATTATACTCTGGGTGTATCAATCAGTATGATGTGTAGGTGTACCTTGTGTGAAGTAATAATAATCTTTTAAAAAAAGGCAATCTGACAGAGCTGAAACATAATGGTGTCAAAAGCAGTCATGATGTCTTTAAACAAATAAGTAAATGGATTGAACAGAATTTAATGGTGTCTAGAATAAACACAATGTCTTTTAAAAAGGATAGTAAATTGTTTAAACAGAAGATAATGGTGTCAAAGACGTCAATTGGGAAGTCCCAACAGTAAACCTATGCGCTTAGGCCACGATGTACTGTTGGATCAATGAAATGCTGACAGGAGTGGTCTCTAAAGTCTAAAATCACAACATACAAACACAGTTCATAAAGCGATACCACCAATACATTTATATTTTTGGACTCACACCAGTGGGATTTGTGTATTTGCCTGTAGTTGAAGAGGAGAATCCAGAGTTCTGGAGGTCACAGGCACGGAAGACGCTGCAGTCGGCTTTGGACAGGAAGCTCAACACCAACGTTGCCAGGAACATCCTGCTCTATCTCGGAGATGGTAAGTTACACAACACAGACATCCTCACAATAATCACACGAGACAACCTCGCCTGGCTGAGAAGGTGAGACAATCAGAATCAGGAATTGCCTGACCGTCTCTTTTTAAGGTAATTTTGCCACCTGTCCCCGCTGCTTCCTCTCCCTCGTTAACTTATGTCTGTGCGTCAGGGATGGGAATCACAACTTACACAGCGGCTCGTATCCTCAAGGGACAGCTGCAGAACCAGACAGGAGAGGAGACGGTGATGACCATGGACACCTTCCCCAGCGTGGGATTGGCTAAAGTACACACACACACACACACACACACACACACAC